AATATTTTTAAATATCATAAATAATTATTAAAAAATATAAATAAATAAAATATTAATTAAATTAAATAACTTTTAAATACTTTTATTAAAATAATAGGTACAAATAATCACACTTGAAAGTTCCTCCAATACATGCATGCACTACAAGAAAACCTAGCTTCACCGACCACATATCATCAAGGTTAGAAGTTTTCTCAGTGAAGTATCATTTTACCGACAAGAATTAAGTCTGCAACATGAGAAATAGTAGAAATGCCAGTAAGATATATTATTTATTATATAGACATAACACTTGTCAGTAATTTAAGGTCATACATACGTGTTACTTGTCGGTAATTACAGCCACCACTCCGACTGGTGAGGGAAAGACGGAAAGGCACATCATCAACGAGAAGCACGCCTGTAAATTTAATTTTGGAATGATAGTCTCGTCAGTAATTGAGGATCAATTTCCAACGTTCATCTTCTCGGTAATTTCCACTCCCAATGCACCCCCACCAACCAGCTGGCTGCCTGCGTCAGGGAGTGCAACTTTTTGATGAAATTTTCCGACATAATGCTTGTCAGTAATTTGCCATTCAGCAACTCCCCGCGAATCCAGTTGCTGGCCACTGGTGTTGCAGCTTTTATTTTCCTTACCGATAAGATATAGGTCGATAATATATGCATTGCCAACTTCATGTTCGTCGGTGATTGGCCCGGTCAACGAGAATCCTGATGCAACGCAGAGATGATCAGCTTTAGACTGTAGCAATGTGGGTTTCGTCGGTAAGTTTCCCTATTGCCTTGCCGACCTGCCCTTCTGCTTTCATTTTAGTCTTTCTCCTTTCATTTTCATTTTCCTCTTGTCCTGCGAGTTGTTCTTGCTCCCTTTCCTCCATTCTTCCCTTTGAAGCACTTTAACACATTTTTCTTCTTGCAGTCTAGTGGATCAAGCAGTAGTAAGTAAAATTTAAGTAGTATTATTATTTTTTATATATTTTATGTATATTTTATTTTTTCTGAAATTTAAACCATTAAATATTATTATTAATTAGTTCATTAGATATTAGTTAATATTATTAGATTTTCTTTTAGATAAATTTGATGAATAGTTATGAATAATGTTTTTATAAATTTTTAGTGAAAT